CAGCTATCACTCTGGAGGCTCTGCTGCGATCAGACACCTCACTCATTTTTGCTCCGGTGTCGTGGACACGTTAGACTGTCAGAACTTGTGTGATCCGTGGTTAGTGTTGTGTGTTAGCGTGTTGTTATATGTGCTTAGAGTAGCGTGTGGTATATGTGTTTAGAGTAGTGTGTTTAGAGTAGCGTGTTTTGGTTTCCCTGTGTTAGCTGCATTTCCCTGCGGCCTCATTAGCAGTGATTAGTAGTAATTAGTAGTGTTGTCAGGTGTGGATTTAGGCTCATCTTTAGAGTCCTCCTTCTGTTTAGCAGTTTACATGTGCCCTTTTGGCTCTTTAGTTTGGCTTAGGCTATATTTGCCCTCTTGTTGTTGTACACCTGTTTGTTATCCCATTAAACCCTATTATAATTAATTACCAATTCCATTCTGGTGTGTGTTGCCTTCCTCATCCCTAGTGGGTTCGTAACAACATAAATGGATGCGGTGCTTCCATGAGCGTCAAATACCGCCGCCGATGGGAATACATTGCAATCAGTTGAAAGCTCTTTGCGTCCGTTTATGAAGCTGAAGGAGCCTCGTTGCAATGTATTCCCATCGGCGGCGGTATTTGACGCTCATGGAAGCACCGCATNTTAAGTATCTTGCCCAAGGATACATCGACATGTTGACTGCATGGGCTGGGATCGAACCCACAACCTTCTGGTTGAAAGACGACCGCACTCTCTCGCAGCCACAGTCGCCCTATGTTCCAGCCCAAGGCAGGACGAGCAGACCTGGTGCGAGTCTGTGCCTGAGATCTTAAACCCGCAGCCGCATAGCCGAGACTCCGAGTCCCTGACTCCTCTGGTGTGAGGGAGAGAAGGGTCCATCTTTGTTCGCCGGGGTGTCGGCGTGGAGTGGACACGCTAGTAACAGGTACGTCACTGAGAAAAAAATCCAACCTTGTCGTTAATCCGAAAGGAAAAAGCGACGGTGTAGATTTTATTCTTTAAATAATATTAACTGGTGTGTTAATACCTTTTGTTTTTATCTCCGTCCCCTCTGGTGTGAGAGAGAAAAGAGAACGTCCTCGCTACCGTGGTGTCTGTGTGGAGGGAAGAAAAGCTAGCAACAGGTATGTTACTAGCTTGAAGAAAAAATCAAACCTTACCGTAATTTCGAAAGAAAGAAACGGTGAGGCAGATTACAATATTAACTGGTGTGTTAATATTGTTCAGTCTTCTTGCAAAGCAAAAAAGTAACCGGCAAGCGCCCGTCGACTAAACTTCTACTGATAATTCGAGATATGCTCTGAAGTGAGAAGAGGTGTTTGAATGACGCTGCGTCGTAGCGCAAGCTACTTATAGGGTGGGTGGATTCCCTGACGTAGACGTCAAGATCACCAGCCAATCAGGATTGGCGTAATGAGATTGATTCTTCTGTTACGCGTTGAGGTGCATCCCATAGTGAGACATCGAACGGAGTGTTATGAATGAGAACAGCGGGAGCCGTGGGTGCTCTGGACCTGCGCCTATCTCTCCTTCTTAACGTGGGCTCGCGCTCGCCCCGCTGAGGGAGAGCCAGCGGCAGCATCCGGCTGAGCTGCACTCTTTCCTCCTCCAAGCGGCGGAAGCGCTGCTTGACCGTGGTGACCGACCAGAAGAGCCCTCCCGTGGATACGGGGGGCTCAAGGAGATCGTCACGGTCCTTTTTGGAGAGTGCCGTGAGCCCCAATCACACGTGGCGTAATCCCACTGTGGCCAGGGACATGACGCGGCCAGCTGCGGCCGCCACACCGTGGACCAGCTTATTCATCTGTCCGATGCAGCGGTCCACATAACCGCCCTGGTCTTCCTGTGCCCGACAGCGAGAAGTCCTCTTCTCCCTCCTCCTCGATAAACGGGGCTGCGCGGCCTGCCGGAATGGCGAACACGAAGGGCACCTCCTCGGCCACCTCATGGTCCTCCATCTCCACCACCTCGATTTCCTCCTGGTCCTGTGCCTCGTCCGGCAAGACATAACGCACCTGCTCGAAGTGGTCCAGGCGATATTGACGTCTGAGCCGCGGGAGCGCCCGACAGGCACTGCAGGACGAGGAATGTCTGCCACCCCCCACGGCGTGGTCAGCCCCCAGACACTCGAAGCACCATCGATGAGGATCGGCGCCCGCGATCAAGCCAGGGCAGGTAGGGCAAGGCCAAGCTCCCAGGAGTGGTGAGTCCATTATTATTTCTTCTTCTTTCGTTTAGCTTCCTGTTCAGTTGTCTGCTCGCTGAAGAGAAAAAGGATGACGGTCGGAGGGCGTAGCCGCCTTAGGTAGGCTCTCCCCGATTGGCCGGCTACGTTTACGTAACTCAGTAGGTGAAAGCATGCACAGCATGATAGAGAGTAATACCCATAGAGTTCAGTAGAGGGCGGAGCCTGTGTGAGATATAACTTACATTGCTGTTCACAACCAAAACCAAATAGCAGTGTTGAAAAGTTAATAAGTACATTTATTTATGTAGGTACTTGGGTAAAATCATTTAACTTTACTCAAGGTTTTGGATGTCGTGTCTCTTTATTCTCATAAAACAACACAGCTCAGAGTAATCATGTTATGATTTTGACCCAGTTTTACTTCATTTAGAAAAAAATGTAACAAATAAAATATGATGCATGTCAAGGTTAAACAAACCAAGCCCCACTTTTAACAGGAAAAACATAAACATCTAAATGTATGCCTTTAAACACGTTTCACACGAGTAAATTTACTTTCTGACTACTCGTTGCAGAATAGCTAAATAGATATATGTTTTAATTTATTTTTTCTATATTGAGTAATAACATTTAACTTAATTTTAAATAAAAAAAAGGAAACATATTGTTCATGTGAAATACGTTTTTTTTTTTATGATTGAACATTTTTATAATATTCATATTTCTACATTTGAAAAACAACAATGCAGTTGGGTCTTTAGCAGGGTTTTCAATGGTTACTAGCTGGAACACTAAAAAACATCATAAATCAGATGTTTTTCAAAAAATGTAAGTTTTCATCAAGACTTAATAAAGAGCAAAGGAGTATGATAACCAACATTTAATTTCAGAAATTAAAGCCAAACACAGCTGACTTGACAAAGTCACTCAACAAATTCAACGAGTCATCTGTGAAAAAGGCTGTTGAGAACTTTTTATCTGCAGCCAATGCTCTATGTATCTCAACTCAATATGCTTGAGCAGTAATGTATTATTGTAAATGAGGCCAGAGAAGGCTCTTGTGGTTCAGTGAGAGAACAAGTGTGTGTCAGATCCAGTGCAGTATGTAAACTGTTTGACATCAGTGTTTGGACTTTCTTTATGAGAACATCTGTGGCAGCTGCCCTATAAATCCCTAGTGTTAAAAAACAGGAACAAAAAGTTACATTTTTGTATGGCAGTGTACCATAGCGAAAAGCGGACCTAGTCGTGCCTCATCTGCAGCGCCACAGCCAACGTTTAGGGAAAGTCAAATCGGGGATGGAGAACTGAGACAGTGTTACTGTGTGTTTACAACTCTTTTTGCATAGCAACAGAGAACCTGAAAGTAAGCTTGTTGATGAAAATAATATCAACCCACAAGGACAGACAAACACATCTCTTCGCCTTTCTTTTTCTGTATTTCTACGGAATCCCAAGTCTCAGGTCTTTTTAGATGAGTTTACTGACTTTCTTTTATCTTCTGTCTTGATTTGCATGTGTAATTAATTCTCTTGACTGTTGATATGTTGATGCTGTTGTGTTTCCTTTCCTGTCTCCAGTGTCAGTGCTCTCGCAGTCTCTCTACAGTTTCACTCCAGCCTATAGGCTTTTAATCAGTCAAGGCTTTTGGTTAAATACACTGACTGGATTTCTGATTCTGAATCTGACCAAGGATTTCTAATGCTAAAATCTTAGCAGATGTTTTATTTCTTTCAGTGAATTAATGCCAATTTTGTCTATACCGTCTGACCAGGAATTGTGTACACTTATTTCATAATGTGTACATTATTTTCGATTATGAATGCAAAGATGTAGGTCTTATGCATGAACAACTTGGGTATTCATGACTATACCTGTGGCCAAAAGGTAATGAACGCAGTAGAATTTATACGAACTTGGCCTATATAAATCTAATAAAATATATATATATATTGTAGCGTCTCGCTACAGGAACACAGGGAGGCTTAGTTTGTCCTTTATCCGGGAGTTTATTGTACAGATCACAGGTTACTGTTGGCCATAACTACGCCAAAACAATCAACTAACCCTGTCGAATTCTCACACTCCGTCACGTCTCTCCCGCTAGCTCTCCCCTAGCTTCCCGCGTCCCTCTTCCCAGGAACCTCCCTCTTCCAGCCCCAACCAACCAGACAACACTCTTCCACCCAAACCCACAGCTACAGGTCACAAGAAACGTCCATCAAAACAGTGGCATGTTCACTGACACTCTGTAAATCTCGGAGACTGCTCCTCTCTCAGCGTGGTGGCACGCACAAGCTGTGTTAATTTTTCCACCCAGGCCGGCTCTGCTGTATTCAACTCAATGCCACATGCGGCGCCCACCTTCGGTGTGTGGTCATCCACACTCCATGAAGCAGTACATAGCATCTCTCTCTCTGTGGCTATCCGTTCTCCGACCCTCAGCAGCGCCGAAGTGTTGCCGCTCGTCAGCTTCCTCCTCCCGTTTAATAGCGACATGGAAACTGTAGGCTGTATGGCAGCAATCACGTAGCACGCCGCTAGTTAGCTGCCGTTAATCTGAGTTGAACTTTTACTTCTGATACCAAATGTATCATCTCGCTACAGGAACACAGGGAGGCTTAGTTTGTCCTTTATTCGGGAGTTTACTGTACAGATCGCAGGTTACTGTTGGCCATAACCACGCCAAAACAATCCACTAACCCTGTCGTATTCTCACACTCCGTCACGTCTCCCGCTAGCTCTCTCCTAGCTTCCCGCGTCTCTCTCCCCAGGAACCTCCCTCTTCCAGCCCCAACCAATCAGACAACACTCTTCCACCCAAACCCACAGCTACAGGTCACAAGAAACGTCCATCAAAACAGTGGCATGTTCACTGACACTCTGTAAAATGCATACAAACTCTGAACAACAAACACATCAAACATCAACATTATAACCAGTCCGTTACAATATATATATATATATATATATATATATATATGTAATTATAACAGTATAAACAGTCTCAAAGAGCATAAAGATAGAAACCTACAAACATATGAACCAGTATGGTTCCTAGCATTAGTGCTTGACAATAAGTGCAAATAAACATTGAATTAATAAACCAGGTAAAGAATGCCTGATTATTATATTATGATATTAAAGTTAAATGTAAAATTACAAATGCAATATTAAGGATAAGGTACAACATGAAATAAAAGAGGCCTAAATATGAATCATAAGATAAGATTGAGAACCTATAGGCTACTGAACATTAATAATAAAAGGAATGTTGAAATAATATCTATAAATATTCATAAATGTATTTGTAGGCCTACGTGGGACGATGGCTTTTTATAATTTACATGTTTTTGGTAGGATTCATAATGTAACATTATGAGATTGCAGCCTAAATGTTCCATCAATATATTATTTTTAATGACATATACTCTCTAATAAACCACTGACAAGTCAAATATTTGTATTATTACACATCATTTCTCCCTTGGCGGCAACATTTCTTGAAAATTACATACATTTAACTTTTGTTTATTTCATAGAAATGCAATTTAGATTCTACCAAGCACTTTCAACATAATGTCCGAGAGTGAAATTTGTAAAAAAGAAAAAAAGAATGACGGAGAAAAACAGTCATTACTTAAAATATATACTTTACGGAATTTGTGTTTTTGTGGATTGTAACATTAACAATTTAATTGTATTTCTAAATCGGTAAAATGTGTCGAAAGTGCTTTACTCGTTGTCAGAACAGATACACATTCACTCAGCTGCAGTGGAGCTGTAGCAGCTCTTGCTCTGTGCCTTTATTTACCTTTAAGGCACATTGTATACTTAGCGTGAGGATAAAGCATTGGATAAAGTAAAAAAAACTTCTCTGTTTTCAGTTCGATATTGTCGCCGTTCTTTCCTTTGCTCAATGTGTTTGCTAAAATAAGCCACTCAAGCTAGCTAGAATGCTACATGACTTTTTTTCTCCACACGAAGAAGAGGAGGGAGGACACTTTTAATGAATCCTGATGGCTTCATCTTCTGCAGTTGTGAAAGGTCTGAAATGCATGTTTTTACCTGTTGTTACATTTTAGCTGGACACAATCATACGGCTACGCAAAAAGCCTCTGCAGCTAGCAAATAGTTAGCCATATTTATTTTCATGAAATCCTTAACTAAACTTACTGAAGTTACTCTTCCATCAAATAACATCAAATACTATGGTTTTATTGTGTAGCGATTTCTTGTTATATCTTTTCTGTCCATTAAAACAAATCATAGGCTAAAAATGTGACTAAATAATATACCCCACTTCTAATAAAACTGTGTGTTCCTTAGGTAAAGTAAATGTTGTATGAGAATAAATTAAGAGTAAACTAATGACATGTTTGTATTATAGCAACATGGCGTGAGGGGGACAGTTGTTTGGCTCCTGACCCGAGAGATGGCACCCTGCGAGAGGCCACAATTAAGAGACTGACCTCCATCTCTAATACTAATGATTCTACAGCATGGTTGCAATTCACTCACCTTGAAAAAGATGAAGAAAAACAAGAGGAGGAAGCTGTACCTGTCTCAAAACTCATGAGACCAGGGTTGAATCACTTCCTCCAGGAGAAGCCTATGTTTCCCTGCATCGCTGCAGACACCAGGCTTTGTGTCCCCTTAGAGTTGAGTGATGTTAATGGAGATAGTATCCCCTACACCATCAACAGATACCTAAGAGATTACCAGAGAGAAGGTATAAGGTTCATTTACAAAAACTACATTGGTTCCAGAGGTTGTATCCTGGGGGATGACATGGGCTTGGGAAAAACCGTACAGGTACAAAATAGTTGCACACTTAATATCTGATTGTTTTCTTTATAGTGGCTGTCTCTCTTATTTTCTCTAACTCTTGTTCTTATCTTAGGTCATTGGTTTCCTTGCTGCTGTATTGCACAAAACAGGTACATGGGAGGACATCGAGAAAAACAGGCCTCATTTTCTGCAGAGTCAGATGCCTTCCAAGCAAAGTAAACCCAACAAAGTGGGTATTGAAACACTTAACTTAACTTAAACATTTAACCAGAATTATAAAAGATGTCAGGATAAATAAGTATTTGATTTTAAATACTTGCTATGTTCATGTGCCACAATACTTTACATCTACAGATATGAGTATTCATTTTTTTTTTTTTTGTTTGTCCACGATCTGGTCTAGGTATTCCTCATTGTGGCCCCGCTCTCAGTGCTTTATAACTGGAAAGATGAACTGGACACATGGGGTCACTTCCAATGTGTAGTGGTCCACGGGCTGAGGAAAGAGGAGGAGCTGGCTCGCATCAAGAAGGGACGAATTGAGATCGCGCTTACTACCTACGAGACTCTGCGCCTTTGTCTTGATCAGTTTAATAAGTAAGACACATGCTCAACTCACTCAAGCAACAAACCATATCTTACGTGTTTCCTGTATGTGTGGATTTAATGTATTTCTCATATGCCTAATTAATGTTTTTATTAATAAATTACACATTTACCCTGCCTGCAGTATAGACTGGTCTGCTGTGGTTGTGGATGAGGCCCACAAGCTAAAAAATCCAAACTCTCAGATCACTCAGGCCATGAAGGATCTGAAATGCAAGGTCAAACAGCTTTATGTTTTAATTGTATTATTACTAGCATGTAACTAGATTCGGTTTAGATATACTTTTGGTAGAGAGCATTGGTGGTGTCATCAGGAAGTGTAAAGTCGCACTCAAGTGGTCTTCATCTCTGCTGTATGGAAAATATATTGAAATATGACACAATTTTAATAAGAAAATTAACTAAGCAATCATATTTTCATCAGATCAGAGTTGGCCTCACTGGCACCATCTTACAGAACAACCTTGAGGAGCTGTGGTGCGTCATGGACTGGTAGGTGAAGAGACTTTTATGTGACAACCCTTTTTCCATTTTCATATTATAAGCACATTTCAGTAATTCCGCCCTCGTAACGTAAGTGATAAATGTACAATTTGCAACTTTGTTTGAAAACATTTTTCCTGTTAGCTTTCATATGTTTTATTCTATGAAGGGCCATACCTGGTTGTCTTGGCAACTTAGGACATTTCAAGAACAACTTTTCGGATCCGATCGAGCAAGGGCAGAGGCACAGCGCAACCAAACGTGCCCTAGCTACCGCGAGGAAGACTGTCAGAGCTCTGGTGAGGAAGATCTCCTATTTGTTCCTCAGAAGAACTAAAGCTCTCATCAAGGAACAACTGCCTAAGAAGGATGACAGGGTAAGATTGGTGAAATGTAACAAGACTTTTGCATTTCTGGACTATATTCTATTACCATATTTCCACAGCTCTCTGATGTACTGTATATAAGCAACACTTAGACAAATGCTGGACTGTGTTTTCTCCTAGGTGGTGTATTGCTCCCTGACTGACTTTCAGCAGACTGTGTATCAGACGGTGTTGGACTCTGAAGATGTGACGTTAATTCTGAAGTCTTCAGAGAAATGTGACTGTCAAAGTGGGCGCAACCGCGGACGCTGCTGCTATAAAGTTAGTTCACTGCTTTGACTATTCTTTGACTCTATATGCTATCTTTTTTAATGGGTTGAACTTAATTCTAAAGCTCGAGCTGTTAACTGCAAATCTGAAATTCACCTTTTAATTGAGTTGTATGTGAACAACTTTTATGGAGGTTATTCACTAATTTAAACAAACATGTTGCGAAAATGTTCCTTTAAGGATCCAGTTGGTATTTCTTTATTTTACTTTTTAAAAACAATAAAATGCAGTGAATTGAAAAAGAAAATCAAATGCAACATTATAGCCAGTTACAACTGCCCATTTGGTTGAATTGTGGGAATAACTCTTTAATATCAGCATTCACGAACAACTCTCATGTAGTGGGAAAAAAAACAAAGATTGAGCACTCAAATAATATCTGATTCTTTGTTTTGCAGACAAATTCAGAAGGTGTGGAAATTAAGAGTCTATACTTTAGTTACTTGGCAATATTGAGGAAGATTGCAAACCATGCAGCACTGCTTCAGTCTACCGCAGGAACCAGTAAGAAACAGGTGAGTCACGTTAACCTATCACTGATTTACTGCACTTGTTCATTAGAGCTATCATCGGAAAGTTTGTCCAGCCTTCAGTTGAAATCTCTTAGTTTGGTTCACTATAACAACTCATTTGTATCTTCCAGGAAAAGTATGTGGGACGCATCTGTGCAAAGGTGTTCCAAAAGTTCCCAGACTTTGTGCAGAGATGCAAAGACGAAGCATTTGAGGCCTTGTCAGACCCGCTGTACAGTGGGAAAATGATGGTAACGTTTGGGAACAAAGGCTCTGTCATCTGCTCATATATGGGTTGTTTCCCTTTGAGTGACTATGTCTGTGTTTCTTTCAGGTTTTGCAGAAGCTGATGAAGCATTACTTGCAAAGGAGAGATAAAATACTTATTTTTTCTCTCTCAACCAAGGTGAGAGCTCAGTTTTTGTGGGTACCTTGTGTTTATTTAAATCAGAATTGTTATGTGTCGGCATGTTTGCAAATATGAGTGCAACGACATATTGTAAGATTCCGATGAGCAACATGGTTACACTCGCTCTTATCCATTCAGCCTTCCAACACACAAACAGGCCTAAACACACACTTAATTGCAAATGCTGTAAGGGCAGATTACTTGTTTACAGAACAAATTGTAGCAGGAGGCATGGTTTTCTCATGACATAGATTAATAGGTGAGCCTTTGTGTGGGGGCAATTAGAGGTTTAAAGATAATTCAACTCTTCAGAGTGTAATTGTTGCTGTCACCTGAGACAGTAATAATATCTCGCTGCTATGAGGTCATATTTTCATGGCCTATGTTTAGCTTTTTTGGTAATCATAGAGCCCATACAGATGTGATTGTGCAAGACTCGGCAACCCCTATAGTGTATCTCTAAATATACATGCCTGTGGATATTCTGTTTCATTTTTATCATATTTGTTAGTGAATCCTTTGCTTTTTATATCCCCCATACAAACTCTTAAACCTTAGCGATGGGTGAATTCACATGACAGATGTAGGGATGCCTGTTTATTAACAGTTGACTTTGAACACTTTGTTGTTGTTTACTACCTGCCAGCTGTTAGATGTGCTGGAGAGCTACTGCATGGCCGAGGGGCTCGACTACATCAGGCTGGACGGAACCACCAAAGCCAAAGAGAGAGTCCAGATTGTCAAAGAGTTCAACATCTCTCCTCACATCAACCTCTGCCTGGTTTCCACCATGTTAGTCAAACATTGATAATTAGATAACAAAGTTTCATATTTCCAGTTTAAACCTTTAGTGGTTTGTTTAAAGAACAAGCACTTATTTTTGTCCATTTTCGAATGTCTGTCTCTTTCCATCAGGGCGGGTGGTCTCGGTCTGAACTTCGTAGGGGCCAATGTGGTTGTACTCTTTGACCCTACTTGGAACCCAGCCAATGACCTCCAAGCTATTGACAGGTAGATTGTGGGCCAAGTTTTCAAATACTTCAGTTTTTTATTCTGATGCTGCTTATCTCTACCACATTCAGCTGCCAGTATAGTGTACCTAGTAATATTATGTGCTGACCGGTGCTTTTGTGTTGATATGTTTGTGTCTGCTTTCAGGGCATATCGAATTGGCCAGTGCAGAGATGTGACTGTTCTTAGGCTGATCTCATTGGGCACCGTAGAAGAGGTTATCTACCTCAGACAAATTTACAAACAGGTACCAGATAATCTTAACAACACACAAGTCAAACAATAACAGAAAAAAACAAGCACAATAATATGTTTTGACAGTGTTTCCAAATGTCCTATCTTTTAGCAACTTCAGTCCTCCGTTGTCGGCAAGGAGAGTGCGCGGCGGTACTTTGAGGCAGTGCAGGGGCATGGTGTCCATAAGGGGGAGCTGTTTGGGATCAAAAACCTCTTCAGGCTGCAGACCCTAGGGTCATGCCTCACCCGCGAGATACTAGAGGTTAGAAAGCCTCCATAGCTTTTACAGTTTTACTGAAGATGTATTTTGATGTAGCGTACTTACTCAACTCACCTTCTTCCAATGTCACAATACAAGGTTTCACAAAACAGTCAAGAAAACGTATAGTTTATTTATTTTATTTGGAGTTTACTGATACTATATGTTGTCAAATTGATTGATAATGTCATTGCAACTCTAGTTTCTTATAGGAGTTTTAGAGGCATACTGCACTGTTATTTCCTTGAATTTTAAACTTAAAAAATACACATGTACAGCCTAGTAAAAATGAAAACTGAAGGATAATTATTTTGTTGATGATTGGTACATAATTGAATAGATTGTCATTGACACGGTTAAGTTGATAAATGTGTGTCTAATTTCTTGCTTTCCCGTCAGCGAGAAGGACAAGTTGAGGCCGGCGTAATGACAAGCAGCACATACACGGCTGAAGAGAAGGAGGAGGGGACGGAGGGAGTTAGCGTGAGTAGTTATGCCCTTCTCAGAGACCCAGAACCTTAGGGCAGTCATCTTCCCATCCCTCACTGTGTCTTCTCTCCCAGGCGGCCCCCTCATCCTCCCATTCCCACGCGAAATATGGGGTACCTCCAACAGGGACCCTACCATCAGTCTGTCAACCATCTCACGCAATCTCATTTCAGTTTATTGCCTTAGCTGAGACTATTTATCTTTGTTCTTTTCTCAATTCTTCTTTTTATTCCTGTTCACCCCATTTATGAGGAAATATAATCAGCTTCCACTTTGACAAAATAAGACATATTATGCTACTTTTAAAGGAAGAACATTGGGAAAGTAACAACATGATCAAAACGGTTCTTATCTTTATCACGCTGCTGTAGCTTTTAAAGTTTGTAGTTTTTCCTCACAGCTGTTGGGGTTAGCATGGGTTCAGAAGGTTAGAATAAATCCATATTACGATTTTTTTATTGCCGTAAAAAAACAAAAAGACTATCTGAATTTGCTCAAACAGCTCTACTTTGACTTATAATCATTTGTTCATAAAAATGTCTCACTATGCTACTTTCATGTCACCTTATCATGGTTGTACTTTGACTGATGTGGTACAGTATATATGCCTACATTTAGCCAGGGACTACTTACATTAGCAGAAGTCTCTATGGAGGTTTTGATGCTTATGTATTGTGCAAACCGGCAACAACTGGAATCTTGTGTAACCCACTATAGGAACGGACTGTTCCTGACCCTTTCAATCGCAAAAATATGTAATACTGTTTTACAAAAGAATCATAACTGCAATGCAATACATTTTGGGTGGAGCATAACTTAAAGTCTTTGGCCTTCAAAAAACACATCTTTCCACTCAATTCTTTGTGGTTTTGTAAAACTGAAGGACGAGGTTCTCTTTGTGTGCTTCTCACTTTCTCTCTGATGCAGGGTGCAACAGCTGGATGTAATTACTTGTGTATCCTGATGGAAGGAGCAGACCACACTGAAGCCTATCTTCTGCTTTTCAGCTATTTATTTACACAGCGATAGCCCTTATCATCCAGTTCCCAGCCAGGTCCTTTTTAACTGGGCTGTTGCTCCACTGAGGCCTTTCAGATTCTTCCAAAAACACAGAATACACTGGGGTGTCTTAACACGCACAGACTGGGGCTGGAGGCGTGTGAGCACCAACATGCACACAAGTACGGAGGAATTGATGGAAAATTGATGGAATTAGAATCACTGTTGGTGGTCGCTCTCATAATGCTCCCATTCATACAAGTCAAGGAAATGTTTTGACCCCTATCTTTTATTCATATTACGTCATGGTCGAGGGCATATGTCACATTTATTTGTATTGTGATTCACTTTTACAAACATCTGTTTTGTGTTACACAATAATATCTTATGCTGTTCCACTGAAAGATGGCAAGAACAAGGGGAAGGGAGGAATTTGAAGCCGATTTGTGCTATTTTGGAGCTAAATCTTTCCCACACTGTCTATTTAAATCTTTGACATGCATTTGTTGTTCTCTTACTACCTACGTTGTGTTTCTTTCTATTTCAAGCTGTCCCCACTTTCTTAGCTGATTGTTTGTATTGTCTCATTTTAGAAACCTGGCGATTCCCCACCTGCAGATAACCCTGTACCAAATAATGAACCAGCCCAGGAGAACAGAGGTGCATCAAAGGTCCCAAAAGGGGTGCTGGACTTCAGCAGTGGAAGTGAAGAGGATGATGAAGAACAGGGTCTTAAGAGAAAGGGGTCAAAGCCCGGTGCAGCGGATGGCAACAGTGCTGCTGCTGGTCCTGGTCGAGTTAGTCTCCTTCAGCACGGTTTCTCCAGACTCCTCGAAAGGGTCAAAGGGAAACCAGAGTTAGCAGAAGGGGACAGTAGTCCGGGTATCGAAGAAAGCCCCTCTGAGGAAGAGACTGTGGATCAAAATGTGGAGGGTGCCTCCTCTGGTATTTGCAAAAGCTCTGATGCAGGAAATGCATCAGTCGGTCCCCCTAAATTGGGGACGAAAACCTGGGGTTCAGACATAGAAGACAGTGAGAATGGAGATAGTGGCAAAGAAGAGAGGGTCTCATTGTTTAAACAGAGTGATGATAATGGAAGGAAGAGACGGGGCCTGAAAGGGTGGACAAATAAAAACATTACTGTTGATGAGGAGAGTGATGGAAATCCCTCACCTGACAAAAAGAAACCTAACAAGCTCAAAACTTCAGTTCCAAAAGTACGCCGCTTTAAGGGTTACTCAGATGAATCAGAGGATTTGGACATAGAGGCAAAGACCTGTCCCAAGAGGAGCACTTTAAATTCACATGGTAGAGGAAGTTGCAGAGAAAATCTGGACCACAACAAAAAGTGGCTAAGTGCTAGTGTTCGGGAAAAGGCCAGATCCAAATACACAAAGGACATAGAGACATTCACGTCTTCAGAAGAGGAAAACACTCCTGTTAAGAAAGGGAGGTCTCCAGGATGTCCCTCAACATCTCCACAAATAGAAAGATCCAGGTTTGAGTTGACAAAAGATGTGCAAAGAGCTGCAACCACCAGGACAGAGAGACGAGCAGGCATGCCCAAAGCTGTTTCATTTACAAATCTAAAATGTCAGACATCCCCGGCATCCAAAGGAAAGGATATAACTATTGACAGTGTGCTAGGTAAATTCAATACCTTTGATTAAATGATTATAATTCTTAATGAAACTTTATTCAACATTAATGATGTATATTTCTGTTTTAAAGGTGGTGTACACGAGGTGTTATACACCCACTCTAACCAGCGCGTTGTGGGCGGGAGCAAAGCAGAGGAGCGGATGAGTCGAGCTGCAGTACGAGATGTGTTCGAGCGCAAGATGTACTCTCAGCTCCCGGCTAATCGCCTTCTAGGCACACAGGAGGTAATATATAAAACTGATGTATCTTGCCATGCCAAATCGGAGTAGATGAATTCAATTGTATTTTAAAAGACTTTATTGACTGTATCAGGCACATATGCTCACTACCACATGAGAGTGGATGTAAACATAATCTATTTTAGTAGCTTAACAAGGCTTCAGTCGTGCTTTATTAGTGGCAGCAGTTTTACCTTTACCATCAACATCCAATATCATGATACTTATCTCAGCCAACAGCACAGACTAGGGGAGAGAGGCTGCTGGCAAACAAAATGGTCACTTATGGACTTCTGTTGGTTCCTTTGTATGATTTTTGGATCATAGTTGTTCTGATTTATTCTTTCCTTTAAGGTCCTATGCACACGGCATTTAAAGCAGCAAACAACGTGTGTGTGTGTGTGTGTGTGTGTGTGTGTGTGTGTGTGTGTGTGTGTGTGTGTGTGTGTGTGTGTGTGTGTGTGTGTGTGTGTGTGTGTGTGAGCCCTGTCAAGGAGGATACAAAAAGAAAAGGGGAAAAAATATGTTGGGACGCAGCTCAAATTTGAACCCGCGCTGCTGCGTGAAGGACATGGGGAACCTGCTCCAACATCAGAAGTCCTTCATTTGTAATGGCAATTTGTTGGTATGTTTAAATGTTTTATGTTCTTGATTGTACCAGAGTCTGTCATCGAGCCCGCCAGACAGTCCGCCCTGCCTCTCTGCTGTCAGACTGGAGAGGCCCAGTGTGGACCATCCAGTCCGCTTTGCCAACAAGAGTGTGCACCAAACCAGAAACATGACCTTCATCATTGGAGAGACTCCTCAAGCCATATGCAGGTACTGAAAAGGTGTCAGAAGAGATTGAGGGGAAGCGAGAAAAAATAACAAAGGCGACAGCAGATGGGAAAGTGCAAAAAAGCTGAGAATAAAAAAGAATAAAACATGTCTATTGTAAAATATAACATAGTGGGTAAGAGAGGGCATGGACGAGAACCAAAGTTATGGGTAGATGTAATTAAGGAAAACTGACTCAGTGTAAGCGGCCAGCATGGTTTGAATAAGAATAAATCAAGTCAGGGAATGAAAAGAAGAAAGGTGGTCTTTAGAGTGAAGTAGGAAGAGAGAGATTCCTGGCAGCGTAGGGAAGGAGGCCAAAACTTACCACAGGTATGGTGTTGAGCGCCCCCACCTGGGCCTCAGGAATTATATGCGTCTGTTTTTAGCGAAAGACCACCTCTGAGCTTTCCCTCTACACCTATTTCCCAGCATCATGCCAAAGATTACCCAGTTATGTTCAGGCCAGACTGTGCTGGAGTTTTCCCCTCCACAACCACAGCCCTCCTGACTCTAACCAAAAACGATCGCCCGAGGACTTCCAAACCCACACTGATGTACACACTTCCTAACAAGCATTCACACACACGTACAGACACACACTGCTCAAATACACACCTCTGTCTCTCTGGCTGCTTCACCTCCGCCCCCCACCTTCCCAAAACACTCATATACAGACACATTTTATGGCTCCAATCTCACTTCCCAAGGGTGAGCCTGTATCTCTGCCCAGAGGCTCACCAGGGAGGGAAACTAGTATACACCAGTTATATTGATATCCCCTCAATTAACCTTGCTGTTTAATGATTTTAAACCACATTCACATCAGGTTTTACTGCTCTTACTTTTATTTATTGTTTTTCCATCGAAAGCCACAAATGGTAATGACTCCACCATAATGCCGGACAGTGACTTTGAAGTATTTCTGTCCCCAAGTCTGGTGAGACCAACGTTTTAATGACTGCTTTGGAGCTCAGGAAAAACATCTCATACTGCATGGGGCTCTGAATATGAGCATGAATATGTGGAGAACTATTCATATATCCTAGGCCTGTTGGACCCACAGAATACGTGATTTAATACGATGGGTTTCCTGTTTTTTTTTAAGACAATACTTTAAGTTGGATTCAAAGTACCTTATTGTATGCTTACATGTCACATGTCCACAGTAAGTCAGGACTTGTACTCACTGTATGTGTGTGAATATGATGTTTTAATTCACATGATATTACCAATTGATATTGCTTGTAAAAGCATACACATTTTCTTAGCATGGATGTTTGTCAAACAAATTTCTGTTCTTGTGTTTAGGCAGCAGCTCGAGGAAATGGCAGAACAATTGAACTTTCCCTCAGTCCATCAGTTTGCACTTGAGATTCTGAGGAAAAACTCGACCCAGAGACTGGCGTGGCTACGACAATATTACACATCACTAAACAACCCTGACCTTGACAAAACGGTCATAAACTATTTCCCAGAATCTGATTCAACACAGACCTCCTTTTCAACCACAACCTCCACAACATCTACCAGAACATCCCCAAAATCTCAAACACATACCCGAACCCCACAAAAGGATGTTCCAAAAGCCAAAAGGAAGCCTAAATACTCTCAGAATAATCCTGAACCTAAAATGATGCCGGAAAGCCAACAAAACAATGTTTCTGTGCAGAAGAAAAGGTCTAGACGCCCACAAAATGATGTTCCTGTTCCCCAGACAAAGCATAGAAACCTGCAAAATAATGTTCTACCGCCACTTAAAAAGCAAAATATCCCACACAAGAATGCCCTAGAACCTCCAAGTGATGTTCCAAGCCTTGGGTCAGACGAGCAGGAGGAGACGGTCTGCAGTGCCAGAGGACATAAGAGGACAAAGATGAATAGTGTTTCTGGTTCTAGAGCCTTCGGTGGTCTTGGTTTGGATCAGGCCAGCAGCAGTGGTCTGACATCTGGGGTGGTTGCTGCTTTCCCGACAAGCACAGACAGAGATATTCCTTCTTCTCAGGACCTCTGCCATGGCAGGTCCACCACATTATCCAAACCCACAGCAAAGGAAGGGCAGAAACTGTCTACCAGGAGCAGTGCAACTCTTCAAGGCCAGAGAACAAATCCTCTGACCTCTTCTCCTCCTGAGCAGGCCAAATCTTCTTCCAGTCATTGTTCCCTCCTTAAAGATCTGATAGGAGACACCTCAATTCTGGATGACCTGCTAAAACCCAAACCCAAGGGAGTCAAAAAGAGCCCGAAGACAGCTCCTGCACTGTCCAACGTGTCAGTGGGTCCATGTCTTACCACGCCTTCTCCATCCAAAATCACTCTTAATACTGATCCTGGTGCAGTCATAGACTCGGTGTCCCCTCCAAACAAGCCCCCTACACATCAGGTGGTTTCAAAGGGCAGTCGCAAAGATTTTTGGGACATCCTGAATGAAGGTAATGAGGAGAGCATCAACAGGTTAACAGACCCAGCAGAAGTACAGAGGGTTTGCATCAACACTCGTATTGCAGCTAGAGGTAGGTCTGGAAAAGAGGAGAGGGAGAGTCTCTGGAAGACTAATGACAAGTTCCTGTGGAAGAAATGAGAGACAATTAGTTACATTTTGTACTTTTTTAAACTTTTGCAGTTCTGAAGAAGATTCCTAGAAATGTCCCCGTTGATTATTTAAAGCAGGTTTTCCTACCTCAGACTTTCTCAAGTTTGTATTTTATTACTTTTGCCCTATTATTTTATTCTTTTAAAGAGTGTTTTAGTTTTTTAGTGTCAACATTTGAAGATCTTTAGTGTTCATTGAATTAGCGAGTAATCATATTGCTGACTGTTTCTTGGTTAAACAGTCACTTTAAGAATTAAAACCTTTTCTAAATTTTATGGAAGTTATTGCCCTGTAAATTGTTTTATTTCATAAGCATTTACTATGTACTGTATATAAAATTGAGCCAAAAGGGAAACACACATTTCAAAATCGATGTCTTCAAATATTTTTTTATTCTTAGAGATCCCAAAGAGAAAACATAACATTCTCGCACTTCAGAAGCTTTCAAATATATTAAAGTTATCAAATGTTTTGCATGTTTGCCTTAAACATTTAGTTTTGTTTTAATGGATTACCAAAAATATTTGCCGCTCAAACTAATGGTGTCGGCTCCAATTCTTTATAAAAATAGGTGAACCAAACTATACAAAGTTGTTTGCCTCCTGTGTTCACATGTACAGTAGTTTAAGTTCAGTATCAAGGCCCAGACTGGCTGCACTTGATATGATGATAAGCGGGAATCCCACTCCGCTGTAGGCATTAGCTATCATCGTTATTGGATACCACAACTGCCACCGGGGTGGCCCTGCAGAGATATCACTTAAAGCTCCCTAATGGCTATTATGTCCCCCTCACTTTGAACACATCACTGCCTCCTGCTCCCCATGAGATTGCATATTGTGTAGATGGTGTAGTTTCCCTGCACAGTGTTCTGCACAGTAATCTGATCGTCTGTGGCTCAACTCTAGTGGTGGAAGCTGCTGCGCAATTAGTGAAATAAAAATAACCAGTCGAAGACTTAGTGGAGCTGGGAGAAGAGGGATGAGGAGTCACTTTCACACTCATCCGTCCACCAATCATCTGTGAAATCCACTCCATAGAAACAAAAAAGACTGTTATCAAACTAATAGTTGTAATGTGAAGAAGAAAGCCCTTAATGTGGGTGTATGTGTGCTAAACCTCACAGCTGTGTCCGCCCTCTTTTAATCTGAGAAAGTAGAACCCTGAAGAGAGCTGCTCTGTGTAAGTGTTGTGTTTTGTTTAGCAGAAATGAGAAAGTGCTGATAGCTATCAATAAACAGAAGAAAAAAGGCCCTACATGCCTCAACAGAACAGGCAGCTCTGTCAGGGTTTGTATGTGTGTGTGCTTGTGCATGTAGGCCTTCTGGGTGGTAGATCTTGACGATCTTCACACACATATACCAAGGCCACACATTTGTCACACCTGTTCAAATCACACACAGAGAATAAAAAGCCCTTTCTCTTATCCCAAACCCTTCCCTCTCTGCTTTTCTCATTCTGTTTCACCGTTAACTGAGAACCGCAGATCCCTATCTGTCTTTTTGTGGTCATAGTCTGGTTCAAGTGAGATAG